GGGAGGGGGGGGGGGGATTTTTCACCATATATTGACCCTGAGTTTGTCAGATCAGAAAGCATATTCAGCAAAAGCACTGCCAAAGTGCAAACGATAGTAAGATGAGAATACTCAAATGGAGATTAGACAATAGAACTTTTGTTCAAAAGTTCAAAATATAATTGCTTTAGCATTAGTAACCAGAAAGGCAATCATGATAAGAATAGCGAGTAAAATGCTTCTCTCCAACTTCGACTCCCGATAGAAACAGCTTCGTCTCTGGCCAACATAATCTATGACAATGCATTGTTCACATTTCACACACTAATTAGACCTTTGCCGTGGAAAGAAAAATCTGCAATTTCTTCATATTTTAGTTCCCTTGCTCTCTTTTTCCTCGAAAGATAGCACTGCAACTTCAGTCCAAAGAGAAGAGGTTATTCCCAACTCCCATCAACCTAGAAACATAAAAGTAAACATAGATCCACGAGCATATATCCTTCATAGAATCGATCTTGTTACAGAAATCAAGAAGTATACAACAATGACCAGGAAACCTGGAGTGGAACTCAATTATTCACATTTATACAGGGGAAAAAAGGAAAGAAAATATACAACTGTGGTATTGAGAGTTGTAAAATTGTGCTTGCACATGATTTACAACTAAATTACAAACAGCCTCAATCACTTTGTTATTATATGGCATTAAGACTCATTATCACAAAACTGATGCAGAGTCGAGTGGTTCAACTTTTGTTCAACCAAGCCTGAACCAGTTACAAGCCCCAGTTGTGAACCATGATTCACAAAAGTGGGTAGGTATCTGTCAATCCTCCTATAACACCACCAATTCCAACTGAACATGGTTGCCCATTATCTTGTAGTTCCAAAACCAGCTTCCAGACTCCATCAACTTATTCTCAATAGGTTTAAGTTCAACAGCTAACCCTGAACAACAGGAACACAATTAGAAAATAAAACTCAGTATTTTCAACCGAAAAAAATGGACACTAAACTTTAGCCAGTCGGTATCAAACTTTACCAACACAGTAGCAGTAATTACATATATACAGGTATGTACACAAAAATGTGTGAACGGAAGGATTATATAAGAAAGAAAAGATTTTTTTATCATTAACATTTAAACATTGAATGCACCCAAGAACAGATCACGTTTCCAACTTCTCTATAGATGGGAATCCCTCACCCAATTGGAAGTCAGAAGGTTTTCTGGGAAGTGGACTAAATATATATCACTAAGATCATTTTCCAACTGAAGCATACGGCCCCAGGAAACTTGCATTTATTCAAGGTGTCTTTCTCAAACCCTCTCAAGACTTACCTTTATTTACCCCACATGTGCTTGCATCTATTACTGATTTCAGGCCTTATAGAACCTAGGTACACATACACTGCCAGGATGACCTTTATTTACCCCATATTTTTGTGCTTGAGAATGTATGTATACTAATATCTGTATATACAATGTAATTACTACTACTATGTTAGTAAAGTTTGGTACACGTACCTGGGTTCTACAAGACCTTTCGGTAATAAATGCAGGTTCATACATACTCTTGTCAGCTTTCACCAGTGCAACATCTTTTCTAATAGTCTAACAAATACCTCACTAAGATGCTTATGCGAAAAGATGCAAAGAATAACTCTATTGACAATAGTATGTCCAAATTACTTTTAAGTGTCCAGAAGCGCAATACCTAAAACCTGTATTAAAAGGCTGGTTTGGTTTGGTTTATCAAAACCGGTTTTTGATTATTTAAAAAGTGATAAAGTAGAAAATTGGTTAAACATGGTTAGTTATTAAAGTGATTTTTGTACAATAGCATACAAAGTTTAATGCCACCATTAATAAATATGAAATGCCTCTGCAAAATGTATCTAACAAAATAATGAAAGAGTAAAACAAGCATATATTAGATCAAATGTTCTAGAAACCTGAATCTCCAGTTGTTATCTTCATTTTGTAACCATCTGGAACTTCAAAAACATGATTACCCTGCATTCAGAAAAAACAAGATAAAGGAACATTTCAGCATCTGATAAAATAAAACAAAAAAGCACAGTAACAGGATTTTCAATAGGGCAGGATTCATGAATAATGAGTCATGTAAGCCATATAGTTCAAGTTCCTTTTAACAGAAACACCAAATCATGGTAGCATGACCAAAGTTAATCATCAGCATAAGTGATATTATCTTGCCCTTTAGCTTTTTTATTTACTTTCAACAAACCCTCCCTCTTCCAAGGGCAATCTGGGACAGAAAACTATAACATACAACTTAACAGAGTCATATTTGCATAAGTTGGTGATAACGTAACTCCCAAAGAACAACAAGAATTCACAACTACATTTTTGCATGTTCAAATGCTAATCATATAATCTAAAGTCAAGCAAACCTGCAATATAACATCCACTGCTTCAAATTCTGCATTTCCATGAAGTATCACCTTTACTGCCTCAAACCGCTGCACATCGTGCTTCCAGTATAAATTTTCTCTTGCATTCCAATCAATTCCATCATTCAATATCTTGACATTCTCCAGCTTACATCTCCCACACCTACATAAAGGATTTTATCATTAAATGTACATCTTCCAAACTAGTAAATTCAAGAATCAAACAACCAGGTGGACTTCATTACCTTTTTCCATAATGAAGAACGGTTTCACCATTTTCATCAATCCTTGGAGAACCTAGAACATTCTCAGCTAAAATGATCAAACTCCCATCAAGCTGAAAAACAAAGCCAAGCAAATTGGTCATAACGAGCAGAAAAGTATGACCTGCCGGGGGAACCAAGAATCCTAACCTGCACATCTCTCCACAAGAATTCAGCAACCTCTATTTGCAACTCTGAACCCCTAGAGATAGAACCTCGATGGAACTAAGAGAGACAAAGCAAAAGAAAAGGTTACAACTTTCAGGATAGTAAAGCATGCCAGACTGGAATAATGTAAATTGATTAATTATGCTACTAGCATTTTGACGAAGGTAGACGATGGCCAGGGAAGAAACAGTAGTATGTCCAATGATAAATAAGGTCTAGATATCATTTTCAAGGCCGATTTTCAAATCATAGTCACAGCTCTATGCTCTGGAGGTTCCAGGGAAAAATTCCAGATATGAGGGAGAACTGAAGTAAATTAAAACAATGCAAGTCAATGAAACACTTTAACAGAAAGGCAATTGCTGGATTACCTTCTGTCTGGTTACTTCCCAAAGGGGGCCTAGAGCAGGATGGAGAAGAATTAGAAATGGAGGCCCAGAGTTAACATACTTTTCATTACCTTCAATCTGTAGATATATATAAAAAGAGTATAAAGAAGTGTACTAACTTCAGAAGAAACAGGTGCTCTGAGGAATCAGACTGGAATAAATTGCTCACTAATAGTCACACACTAACCAAGTTCAAGTAACTAGATAATAGTACTCCAAGAAGGAGTACGGACACAAATGCCGAAAGTTTAGCCCAAGAATATACCTTTGGAAGTTTGATCTCACAGTGAGAAAGAATATCATAGGCATTACGCATTATATCCAATAGCGATCCATCTGGAGTCTGCAAAGAACAATTTCGATTCCAATGAGTTATAGTAGTACTTCTGATCCCATCTAATTTCTGAAAAAGTAAACACAGCCATTAAATTACAGATTCACCAAAACTGTGATGTTAGACTTTGGGATTTGACTCTCATTACCAGAAATGTAAATCCATTATTTTCTTTTCCCTCAGCTGCAAATAACCTCATATAATTGATAAAGAGTTAATTATTTTCAGCCTCATTTCCTTTGATTTGAACATTTCTTCTTTGGAGTGTCCATAATTATTTGTTACTTCACTAAAAGAAAAACTATTTTATACACATTGAGTGAATCAAATATTTTAAGTTGACGTTTTGACATAGATATTTTTACAAATCAAACTTCCAAACAGTCTTTGTAATCAACTACAAATACTCAGTTTTTTCAACTTAAACCAAATATTGTTCAAACAGGCATAAACAATCTTAATCATTTGAAACCCAAAATGAACAACAAAAAGTGCAATGGCTGTTGATAATATCAATTATCAACAATTAACAAGTTAGTAGTCAAGCATTTAATAGAGTACAACACATGCAATCTTTGCCTGAAAATATTCAGCGCAATAGTGTTGTCTTGAAAGAGATTGCAGATATGGCATATTCGTGTTTTGTTAATTTTGTCAGCTTATTTATTTATGTTACTTAGACCAAATATGTGAAGATACTTCAGTTATTGCATGGCCGCAAACTTAAACTGATGACCTCTGCCTGCTCTACATTGTTAGATTGTGTGATCATTACATCTACAAGCTTACAGTTTATATCACATTTCAATTGTGGTAAAACAAAACTTAAACTGTTAGAAAAGGGACACTGTTGTTTATTGTTTTAGGTCAAGAATTTGCTTATCAGGGAAAACATGCTGCATGTTCCGGATTACTCAAAGAAGCTACTAAATTATGTAGAACCTGGTGAAGCGACGTGTCACCCTGTCTACGTTTCTTCTTGGCAGATGATGTCACCTTCTTTCTTTCATTGTATACAATAAAAGTATCTAGTTCATCTGCAATATAAGCAACATTAGTTCATTCAAAACTGCATCAAGCCAGGTTTATGATAAATGCTAAACTAAACTTCACTCAAAATAGCTGTGTTAGACCTTTGACACCATCATAACATTGAGATGAGCATGTATTGATAAAGTTGTCAGCAAGGTTTTGCATTGTGCATTCAAGACGACCACCTCGGACACTGGAATAGAAAGTAAAATGCTTGGTATCAGTAAAGAATTAGCATATCTGAATTATTGTTAATGAACTGAGAACTCGGTCAAATACGAAGCTACTGCAGGAAACAATTGATAATACAATGGGAAAACTTCCAAACGCAAGGATAAAAACTTCACATAGTCAAAAGTTAAAAAAGGTAACTACATCCAAGAAAGAAAGCTAAGTAGATACTTCTTTCGGAACCATGGATCCATGGATAGAACCACTATACAACTGATAGTCGGCCATAGATTAGGCAATGTATCTTGAGGACCCATTTCAGCCTTTTCCTTGAGTGCTTTAAACAGTGCAGTCATTTCAAATTTTCTTTTCAGTTCAAAATTACCCGTTTTTAGAGTGTTGTTGAAGTTGATGACTAAACTTTTAAATAACTTCTAGTGATCCTCAAAATTCTTGATTGTTTTTTGAGCTATGCTTCAATTTTCATTTTTTGGAAAGAGTGACAGTGATGGCAGTTTGTCTTGATCCTAAAACTTCAAACAAAAAGATAATGATTTGACACGGCACTATAACAATTTAAAGTTTACTAGAGGAGCTATATATATTCATGAGAGCAAACTGATGTTGCAGAAGAGAATTACTATTATTAAATTACTAGAGAACTACATAGAGACTTTACAACTCCTTATTCTTTCAAAAGGAAGTGGTGGCACGAACCAACTGGAAACTACCAGAGACAAACCTTTTTTTCACAGCAGATTTATACCCAAGGCACATGTGATGTCCCATCAAGAATAAACTATAGGAAGGGTTATATATGTGACACAATCATCTTTTTGAAGTCCAGCAGTTCAGAACATGGTGCTAGTCCAGTAAATCATAAGGAGCATACGTCAAAGTTATTAGTCAAACAAAATTCAGTATACCAACTTTTCCCTCAGATATTTCCCAAGTAACTATTTTTTTTAATATAGTGTAACATGCTACTGACACTAGCTTTATTGTGAGGATAACTAGAATCCTTAGGTCTTCCAATTTTCATTAAAATATTGATTGCTTAAAGTGCCGTATTTTTACATAGGAATTGTACAAAATTCTGACCAAGGTAATGGGAAGAGAAAATAGATATTGTGCTAGGTGTAAAAGAATAGAAATTACTCCTTCGTTTCAATTTGTTTTGATTTGGCACGGAGTTTAAGAAAGTAAAGAATGTGGGTGAGCTGGAATTATTTCATGCGGGAAGCATTTTTAATCTTTATGGTCAATATATTCTAAGTGAAAAACAGAATGCAGGTGAGCTGGAAGTTATAACAAACCAAGATACTTTCATCTCTGGTGTTCAATGCATTTTTTGTATTCATGGAATCTATCAGCAATAAATTTGACAATCAGCACATGTCCCAATCAAGAAAGACAAAGAGGCCTTTAGAGTAGCTTACACACCCAGAAGATGTATATCTTACCTATGCTTGCTTCCGAACTGGTCCACAAATGTGATTTCCTTTTTCACATTAAGCACCATTCCAGGCAAACTAGTCTCATCATTACTTGAAGCAACAAGCTCAGCAGAGGGCAAATCAACATATAGAATGTTTGTATTGGCAGGAAATTCGTCCTGTACACTTAACAAAGGACGAAAATACGGAATAAGAATTTTTTACAGTGTTAAGAGTAATTATAATAAGATCATCATGACCATGGATAGTTGGACACAAGGATGAAAAAGTAATGATAAAACTGTGCTTATAGTTACAAACAAAGAGGCCAGCTTTACACCTTATACAAGAAATAGTGCGTTCAAATAAGAATGACACCTTTTATTATTGGAAACATTTCAACTTTACACTTCGCATTTTACCCTTAATGGCATGCTTTTGCAGTCACAAAAATCTAATGGCATGTTTAAAACTACAAGCAAGTCTTTTTTAAACTCCTTATCCAATCAAACACTGCCACATAAATTGAAATGGAGGGAATATCATGTAAGCATCAACTAAGAAGTGAGGCAACAACACTGGAATGGAAGGTTGGAAAGGTTAATCCAAAAGGATAAGACATTTCATCTAGACAGACGAAAGGTGTTCTGAGTCTTCACTCTTATGCACCACAGGTGCCCTAGAATCAACCCAATGGACATCAAGAGAATGAACTACCATAGTGACAAGTCCTCCACACATGCAATAAGAGTCTTGATGCAGTAATAAATTCTCAAGTTTAATATCATCAACATAAAATTAGTTTCTACACTTCCAGAAAAGCAACTGAGAGCATAAGGTAATTTTTAGGCACACCTTAATTTGAATTTTTGCATCAGAATTGGATTCTGTTTGACTCTACTTGATTGCCAAAAGGTCTTCATTCTTATTATGTACATGCATCACCAACCTCAGATCATGGACCATAATGTCAGGTTCAGGGAAATTTATAGCATCAACAATTAAAAGCTATTTAGAAAAGTTGATTCCGGAAGCTACAAATGACAGCATCAATTTGTAGTAGGAAATTCCTAGTGTCAGCTGGTACTCTCAAGAGACTACATACAAGGTCATTCAGAATGCTAAAGCTACTGTCACAAGCAGAAACTCGTTTTGATACATTTTTTGATGTCATCATTTTAAAACTCGTGAATGGACGATAAGCTGACCAAAGGATCCAATTAAAGGAATCATTCGAATTTGAATAAGAAATGACATAGAGTACCTGTAAGTAGAAAGGGGATTATCTGTCATCCCAAACTTGTCAAACTCGGTATATTCTATGCAGGATATACCACAAGTCCATTTCCCCTCAAGATTCTTCTTCTCAATAAGAACATTTATGCCTTCAGTAGCACCAGCATTTCGCTTACACGAAGCAAAGCCCAGTTTCTGGAAATTTTGGATATGACCACAAATATAATAAGTAAATAACAGTAAGATTCCAGTCTAGAGTAAGAAAGAAATAAGGCATAAGGTCAACATGGCTAGGCCAAAATATACTCTTGTCCTGGCTTCTCCAAGCAGAGCAAGTTACTTAATAAACATATCTTGTGTTCCATAAACTGTTCCTGCTAATCCAATATTTAAGAATATTGATTTCTCCCAGGGTGAGGGAGGCACTAATATCATGAACTAAATGGATTCATATTTGCCTAATCAGCAAGTCCTATTTGATCTCCTCCCGCCTGTCGAAATTGGGTGATCCAGGAATATCAAGAATAGATTGCAGTCAAATCCAATTCTCTAATTATGTACTGCCCAGACTGCATGGTTTTTTAAAATAACTGACATGGTATAATTCCATACCTTTCCTTGACGCAAACCAATTCCAGCTAAAGCCAAAAGAGTCACATCTGTCGCTGCCACAACATTACTGCATAGTCAAGAATGTCAACCATATTCAAGACATAGATTATACCACAATTTCTCTTTTTATTCTAATTAGTAATTATTTTAAAACACAGTTAAAAATTTGAAGTTAACCTGACTTGTCGCACGGTTGCACCTCGTCTTCCATGATCATGAAACCACTGGAAAACACCTTCATTATAAGCAAGTTTCCAGATCACCCCATGACCACCTGGCTTGCATACAGGTTTGAATGGTCTACCAGCCAACCACTGCCCATCTTCTGCACTAACAGCTGGAACAAGAGGCTAGCAATTGACAAGTTAAATCACCAAATGAACAGATTATGTAATATATATAAGAACACACATCAAATCATGGAGTCATAGGAACGGAAAGCATTCAAATTTTTACCTGCTCGAAAAGTTTAAACTTTGATCTTCCCCTTCCGAACCAGCGGAGTTCCTCACAGAGTGTGGTGACACGCTCATGATTGCTTTTTGCTGCACTTGTCATGATTGCAACTGGAGTGATGCATTGTTTTCTGTATAACTTGAAATACAGGTACTCCCTAGCCTTACAGTAGTTAAAGGATATCATCATCTCTGTTGTGATTTGGTTTAGAACACTATGAATGCAGAAACAAATCACTTGATAAGGGTATTTCGATTACCTGAAGATCTCTTATAAGACCTTCTAATAGAGTACGCCCACAGTATGGAAGCATTGCAGCTGGAAGACATTCACCTGAGTTTGAGTCAACCAAACCCAGCCTGTCTGCCGAGCCACCAAGAGGATATATTTCACCCATGTTTGGCAAACCCTTCAAAAGAGTTAAACAGTGAGTAGATCAATACCAGCTTACATGCATTGATATCTATAAAATATAGCATTGACTAACTTCGATTCCCCATATAGCTGCTTGAGATGCATATTCTAAATCATGAGAAAGATCAAGCACATTTGGAGGATGAATTTCTGTTATGTCACGCTTGAGAGAACTATTTGAGTTATGGGACAGACACGATCGTTCAAAAGTTGACTGAGCAAGAAGCTCAAGGACCATGATTTGATACCTGCAGCAAGAACTTTGTATTTCATTAGCATGAGTGGCTTGAAAAGCTCTGGACATATCAATAAATAGATCAATGATGGGAAGGTTTGATAACAAATTATTTTTGAAACAAAATAAAAGAAAATCATTTTTTATGATTTTCTAAAGATCCTGGTGTACAAAGCTTAAAGGAGAACTTATAAAGTTGAATACTAACAGCTTCTTATTTGGCGAAAAATATCAGAGTACGAAGGCTCAGCAAGTATTAGATGAAATGAAGGGGATACAGCATAAGGAAACTAACATTTACGGGTAAAAGAAACACTCAACTCTGCATATCCAAAAAGTTGGAGGTACTTAAGTAGACATATCAGAGTATGACAGCTCAGCACATATTAAATGAGATGAAGCGAATATAGCATAAGGAAACTAACATTTACTTTTAAAAATAAACACTAAACTCTTTGCGCTCCAGAAAGTTGTAGGCACTTAAGTAGCCTTATACAATTTATGCTATCTCAAATTTATCCACAAAAATCAGTAACTGAACCACCTAGAAAAGGAATTTACTTTTGAACACTTGGTGTTATCTCAAGTTTGTCCACAAAAATCAGTAACTGAACCACCTAGTAAAAGGAATTTACTTTTGAACACTTGGTGTTCTTCCATTGTATTATTTAAGCACTTCGAAAAACTGAATTGGACAGCAACCATTTTAATTACTCCCTCCGTTTCAAAAAGACTGACCTCCTTTCCTTTTTAGTCAGTTTCAAAATGAATGACCTCTTTCTTTTTTTGGTAACATTTTAATTTCAACTTTCCACGTGGCATGTTTAAGGCCACAAGATTAAAGGACAATTTTGTACATTTGGCATAACTTGAATTTAGGACCACAAGATTCAAAAGTCTTCTTTATTTACTTAAACTCCGTGCCAAGTCAAACTAGACCATTCTTTGTGAAACGGAGGGAGTATATTACATCAAATTCTGCAAAAGTATTAGGCAAGTTTGAGTGCTTTCCATATGCTCATTAATAATAAGTACTATCTTCGCAGTTGCATAATAATAGATAGTAAGGTTTTAAATTCTTAAATGATGGTGGTGTCCGGGTCAGCTTGCACGTCTACCCCCACCAGCACAAAGGTACGTGATCCACCAAGATTCAGGTAGAATGGAAGAAATAACCTAGTTTTTTTTTTCCTCTGCTGGAATTTGAAGTAGAGACCCCATGGTTCTCCCCCACTTCATTAAGGAAGTAACTTAACTTGTTTATTTACGAGCTTCAAATTTTAGTTTATAACGCCCTTACTCACTAGGAAAATGCAAACTTGTTATCTCCTTTCATTGTACTTACTGTCACCTGTTCAGGCACTCACCTATTATACTCTAGTGAAGGATCTCAAAAGTCTGGATACAAACTTGTATGTCAGCGTCCAAGGTTCATCTTGTTGAAATTAATAAGTAACAGAAGAAATTAAGTCCAATGGGAGCAAAACATAGAGAACTAACCCTATTATTCCTCCAATGCAATCATAAAACCGCTCGACCTCTGCAATAATTTTCAACATTGACCTCAATGCCTCAAGCTCTTCAATTCCAAGGCCATAACCATTAACACCATGGCGACCAATACCCTCATTTACATCCCAATTGTCAATCATCTCCGCCAAAGCATAAAAAGCACTCTTCAGTGAACTTCTTGTGGCGTCAAACTCTGTACAAACATCACCAAAAACATGCTGTTGCCCGGCAGCAACCACGCATTTAAGCAAAAACACTTCATACTTATCCAAATGCAAAGTGTCCAAAACCCTAGAAAACGAATTCTTATGCGAATAAAAAAAGGAATTTACACGACTATCAGAGTCAATCACTCTGATTCTGTCCTTCAAATTAGTACAATTATCAAGCTTCGATTTCAAATCTTTTAACCTGGCGATTTCTTTGTGAAAATCAAAGTCAGGTGCTGGTGGCACGTACTCTACAGGCGCGGTGGTAACGCGCGTGAGTCGAACTAAAGGACGCGAGTATTGAAATGGTGATGAAAACAGAGAAGAGGAAGATGTAGAGGGTAGAGGCTTCGTTACATAATTAAGAGAAGAGTCTCTATAAGAGTTGAAGAAGAAAAGTGAATTTGTATATTTTGAGGTGAAAGTGAAAAGAAGGTTGTTGTGCTGCTGAAGCACTGGCGTCGAGGACGCCATTGGAGAGGGATAGAGAGTAAGCAGTTCAAGGGAGATTTGAATTTGGAGTGAGAATTTGTAAGGGAAAAGAGAGAGGGGATAAGGGGAGATTCGGAAAGCATATGCCGGGGGGAAATGAAGGATATTTAAAGCAAAGGAGCCAAACGTCACAACAATGTCCAAATAACCGTCGGAAGCCTCATCATCAACATCTTCTGCCTCATTTTCATTGGTTGCTCGTATTTTCCTTCGTTTTTTTTTTTTTTTCTTTTTTTTTTTTTTTTTTTCCTTTTTTTTTTTTTTTTTGGGTCTTAATTTTCCTTCACCACATTCATCATTTTTAACTTAGTTTGGTATTTATTTAAGAAAAAATTAAATAGTAAAGCAAAATATACTCCCTCCATTTAAAAAAGAATGTCTTAGCTTGACTTGGAACGGAGTTTAAAAAAAGAAAGAAAACTTTTTAATCTTGTGGTTCTAAATTAAAGTTATGTTAAATGTACCAAAATGTCATTTAATCGTGTAGCCTTAAACATGTCATGTGAAAAGTTGAAATTAAAGTATTGCCAAAAAAGGAAAGGGGTCGTTCTTTTTTAAACAGAATAAAAAGGAAATGAAGCTATTCATTTTGAAACAAAGGGAGTATATAACTATAATTTAATAAAATTATAATTCGCAGCTATCATAGCTCGAGTTGATTTACGAAATTTCATTGTAAACCATGGAGAAAGCTTCGAAGGTTAAGTTCAAATTACGGATTCATGAAATTGTTGCTAAAATTAATGGGTGATATTTTGAAAATTTGGATATATTACGAGGAGTTGATATCTCTAATTTGAGGGATTTTTTGTTTAAATGTGAGAACTTTTCAAGGAATTAAACACACACATATATGTAGGGATTAATAGAATCAAACCGCGAACCACACCAAATCAACAAATCGAGTCTAACCAAAAAAACCCGACTAGTGAATTGGTTCGACTTGATTTGGTATTTTAAAAACCCTGACTATAAATTGTTTGATTTGGTATTAACTAAAAAACAACTCAAGATCAAACCAACCCGACTATAAATGGTTTGATTTGGTTTCTCATTTTCTAAATTTTAATTTAATTATATATATATATATACACATATACTCGTTTAGGATAAACAAAGCCTAACTCAACTAATTTATATAAAAAGTTGCAAATTATTGACTTTAGGTTAAAGATTTTCAATTCCTCTTGAGCTCTTCATTTTCAAGTTATTAAGGCACATCTTTAGTTCGTCATTCAGTTCCTCGCAACTCAGTTTAAGTTTGGGCAAGTATTGTAACATCCGGCCTTAGAAAGTGCTAAATATAGAAAGAATTAATTTGGAAAGAGTCAAATTGAAAATTTTGGCAAGATATGCTAAGTATGAGTTTTGGGTCAACTTCAAACGACCATAACTTTTAGTACATGACGAGTTAGGTGGCCCATAAGATATCAAATGAAAGGTCTTGGAATCCCCTTTCCAACGCCATGAAGTTTGCTAATTTTCGAGTTCGAATGAGGGATATATGATCATTTGAAAATATATCTTTCCAATTAAGGGAAGTTACCCGGATTTAAGAGGGGTATTTTGGTCTTGTCCTTACCCTTTTAGATTTAAGCAAATTTTGGTAATACTTAGGGGTCTAAACTGATTTGGTTCAGTTTTACAAATCCTAATTTACGCTAGGGTTTTGAGAGGAGTTCAAGAAGAGGAGAGAAAAGGAGAAAAATCAAGGCGTTCTTCAAGTTTCTTGCAATTCGAAGGTTGTTTCGTCAAGGGTTTGATCCCTAAGAGGTATGTGAGTCCTCATAGTATTGGGTTCGTTCACCCACACGTCAATCATGTTATTTTCAGTACAATTTCGTTCTTGAAATCGAAGAAATTGAGTTATTGATGAGTTTTCTTGAAGTTCATTCGAAATCTTGATTTATGGGGTTGTTGATGAGTTCTTGAGATGAGTTTTAGTGTTTTGGGTGTAGTTTTGAGTGGATTATCGTATACTAATGTTGGGTATTCGAATCTAAGTGAGTTGGGAAGAAACCATTCGATTCTAGGTAAATTGAGGTTAGAAAACAAGTAAGAAAATTCGTCAAAAAATCTGGGCATGGGGCGTCGCGCCACTCAGTGAGCCCCACTTGTGTTCTGTAGTTTGGGGCCTGGCGCCCTACGCCAGCCAGTGCGCCCTAACTACCTTTCAACAGTTTAGGGGCTGGCGCCCAGCGCCACTCAGTGCGCCAGGGTCGCCTGTCCCATCCAGTCTTCAGTTGTTTAACCCGTCTGAGTTCCGTTAAAGTGTTCCTTCAATCCCTATTGATTCTAAACACTCTAAACTACTTCTAAACATCTAGAAATCATTCATAAGAAAACAAAACAATCTTAATTATTCAGTGTTCAGATCTGGAGACAACATCCTAATCATTCAGATATGCGATTAGACATCTTAATCTTAACGAAAACAAATGAAATCTAAGCCTTTAAAAATTTGAGAAAATTGGTACAAGGTTCACATTTCCGTTTTGAAAAGTTGTTAGCACTCAAAGTGTCTACTAACATGTAGTTATCCGACGATTTAACTAGAATATTTGACTAACTTTGGGATTAAAAAAATGGGATAAGGCAGAAATATCCCCTAAACTATGATCGAAATCTCAGAGACACACCTAAACTTAACTAGGGTCCTATTACCCCCTAAACTCATTTTTCGTAAATTTGTGCACATTTTTTGTGCTAGCGTAACACTTTTAACCACTCAAGTTGACTGTGATTGTACACACTCGCCTACCACATGTGTAAATGTTTTTTAAAAAATAATTATTTAAAAAAAAAATTATATTTTCTTTATCGTGTATTTAAGTTAAGTTAATACACATATTTTTTTGTCTTGTATCAAAACTTTTTTAACATTCATTCATTGTTTTTTCTCTTTTATTTTTCTATTGATTTTATTTATTCTTTTTATTTTCTTTGTCTTTCCTTTTGAATTGATTTCAAATTTAATTTCAAATGTCTTGTATATAAAATAAGTTTTTTGTTTGAAAGGATATCAAAACAAGTGAAGAAAATCAAATAAAACATAAAAAAAATTAATACGTTAGAATTAAAGAACACTTTTTAATTATTTTTTTTAAAATACACATAAATTTTAAAAATAATTAAAAGTGAAAAAATAAGAAATTAGTGAAAGAAAAATATAAAAATTTTAAAGTGAGAAAGAATTTAAAATAAATATTTTACAAAGAAAGAAATGAATTATATGGACTAACTAATTATAAAATTACCAATAAAAAAAAATACGTGTCCAATTTGTTCACTCATCACATGTCTTCAAGAGACTATGCACACTCTTCATGTCACGTCAACATTTATGGTGTATTTATTCCATTTAAATTAGTTTGGGGTGGTAATAGGACCCTAGTTAAGTTTAAGTGTGTCTCTAAAATTTCGGCCACTGTCTAGGGGGTACTTGAGCCTTATCCTAAAAAAATGATTAAGTAAAGAAAACATTATGTGATTTATTTATAAAAATTCCACTTAACCAATTAAAGTAAATTGAGTAAAGTAAATTTCTAGCCAAAATATATTTGAATCATTTTTGAAAAGATAATAACTTAAATTTTTTGAGACAAGTAAAGAATTTGACTAAATATTTGAATTAAGTAAATAAAGATAAATGTTGATAAAATGAAATTCTTTAGATCAAAATAAACCAACACACAAGAAATTAGTTCTTCTATTAGGAAAATTAATTAAATTATCTAAAGTTAAAGTTAGTCCAGACAAATTGCAATCAAATAATCAAAACAGTGAAAGAAATAAGGGCTAATTACTTGAGTGGATCCCTTTTAAAAAATAATTACTTATTTTAAATATACTCTTTAATTATTACCATTTATAGCAATATATAACAATACTATATATTTTATTAGATTTGTCTTTCTCTCTTGCCTCTTTCTCCCTTTTCTCTCTCGCTCTTTCTCCCTTTTTTTTCTTTATGTTGTTCTTTCTCTTTTGTTTTTCTTTTTGCTGCTTTTTTTTTGTTGCTCTTTCTCCTTCTCTTTCTCTTACTTTTTTCCCCTTTCTCTCTCTCTATTTTCTTTTGTAGAGTAGTTAATGATTCGTAGACTAAATAAAATTTGTATCAATAATTAATTAATTAGGCAAGTAATCTAATCGTAACAAATGAAGAGACATAATAAATTGCAAAATGAATTAAATTTACATTAAAAATGTATTCCACAAATATTAAAGTTGAATTAGTAGAGAATTAAATATGAATGCAAAATGTAGCAAACCAAAGAGCATTCTATGTAAACTGAATGAATTTGTATCAATAATGAATTTCACAAGTAATTCAATCGTAACAAATCAGTCAATAAATTACAAAATGAATTAAAATTGTATTTAAAAGTGTATTTAATTACAAAATGAATTAAAATTGTATTTAAACAAGTAAATAAATTAAATTTGCTTTAAAATTGTATTACACGATATTAAAGTTGAATTAGAAGAGAAAATTAAGAATGAATGAAAAACATAACTAACGAAAGACAAGACACCTATCTATAAACTGAATTAAATTTGTATTATTCATCAAAAAGCATGTATTATATGTGTCTTATAAATTATTTTGGGTTTGTATCACTAAGAACGTAAGTGATGTTTGCAATATGTATTAAAGATGTATTGTGCATATATTATAAGTGTGTTACCTAAATTGTTTTAGTTGATATCATTAAAAAGGGAGTGAAATTTGCAATATGTATTATAAATGTAGGATGTATTGTTCATGATTTTTATACAATTTTAATACAATTATGAAACATATCTAATACAACTTTAATACAAACCCGAGAATTAAGCATGAATAAAAAATGTAACTAATGAACGACCAGATCTATAGAGTGAATTAAATTTGTATCAATAATGAATTAAACAAGTAATCTAATAGTAACAAATAATAAACTACAAAATGAATTAAATTTGCATTAAAAGTGTATTACACAATATTAAAGTTGAATTAGAAGAGAGAATTAAGCATGAATAAAAAATGTAACTAATGAACGACCAGATCTATAGAGTGAATTAAATTTGTATCAATAATGAATTAAACAAGTAATCTAATAGTAACAAATAATAAACTACAAAAT